CCAAGAGAAACTGAAGACAATGCTTATGCAAAATTTTGGGGGCAAACAAGATGTATTATGGGGGATGTGGGAATGGTAAGCATCAGTTGTCAAAAAGTAGTGGTCAGTAGTGGTCAGTAGTAGTGAATCATGTCCTTGAAGGAGTTCTTAGTATAACTGATAAACAAACAGGTTATGCTTTTAAAAATCTAAAAGCCACAGCTTGACGAATATACATAAGGGTCAAGACAAATTGGCTTAATGTAGCACATTACTCATACATTTAGCATCATCCTTCTCCTAATTAACAATAACAATAACATTTATTACTTATATTGCGCTTTTTCTATGAAAATAGCCAAAAGCGCATTACAATTAGATAAATTCTTACAAAGTACAAATTGAGAATTAAAACTACCAACGCATCTTGAAATTTAAGACATAAAATCCTATAAGATATTCAAGAATTGAACTTACAATAAAATCTTAACAAAAGGCCTTAGAGGCCTTAGAGAACAAATGAGACCATCGCCATCATGAATTAACTCTCCGTTAATTGATGTTGCCCTTCCCTTTGCTCCTTCCTGTAACGTTTAGTTCCTACAACTGGTAATATCACTTAATGCATTTTATTCCAATGTACTTACTGAGATTTTCGCATAGAATCGATTGCATGAAAAACTCATACGGAAATTTCTTCATTCAATCACAATCGCGAAACGACTTTCTAACACGTGGGAAAAGCGTTTCATCCAATCAGAAATTAGCTGTCAAAATGAATCAGTCAGTTCGCAACGCGTTCGCGTTGTTGTTGGCACCTCTTCAATCTTCATTCACAGAAGTTTGTAGCGTTTCCACAAGTTTACTCCCGCAAATTAGCTATAAACCACAGACAATGGCGGAAAGTTCGAACAGGTTTATCGCTTTAGATAAACGAAAAACAAAAAGATTCGAGCAAAAACCTGACTAGACGTTTAAGGTTAGCTTGCTTGGCGAATTCCTCAAACAGAAGGAAGAGGCAACAATAGCTTTAAAAAAGGCAAATATGCCGTAAGCATTATCGACGACAAAGAGTTTTACCAAACAAGGAAATGTCTGGAAGCTCAAAGCAAACGACTTAAAAAAAAGCAAGGCAAAGGAAACAAATCAAACGCAGCTGATCATGAAGCGTGGACTGATGACGATTGGTTTTTGAAGAAGCGACAAANTCTTATGTGACTTCCCTTTTTATTGTTTGTTAAACACATGACAGTCAGTGTTCCAGCGTTACTCATTTAAGAAATAGAGGACATCTACCCTGTTTCTATCGAGTTTTAGTATAATTCTACAAGTTTACTCCCGCAAATTAGCTATAAACCACAGACAATGGCAGAAAGTTCGAACAGGTTTATCGCTTTAGATAAACAAAAAACAAAAAGACTCGATCAAAAACCCGACTAGACGTTTAAGGTTAGCTTGCTTGGCGAATTCCTCAAACAGAAGGAGGAGGCAACAATAGCTTTAAAGAAGGCAAATATGCTGTAAGCATTATCGACGACAAAGAGTTTTATCACACAAGGAAATGTCTGGAAGCTCAAAGCAAACGACTTAAAAAAAAGTAAGGCAAGGGAAACAAATCAAACGCAGCTGATCATGAAGCGTGGACTGATGACGATTGGTTTTTGAAGAAGCGACAAAGTGCTTGCACTCAGACGGAGTGAATGGAAAGTGCTTGGTACGGTATTTACGCACTCGTTGTTTTTGTATCAGAAACTCGAGCAAAAATACCATACGCGAGCACTTTCCATGAAGTAATCTATATAGTATTTTGTCAACACTTCAGTCGAAACTGAACATATCCAGAAAATGGCTTTCCACAGCGCATTGGCAACAAGAGTTCAGAGATTTTCATTTAATTTTAGAAACATGCATAAATCATTTTATCTTGATTGTGCAGGACTCAGATAAAGTAAAATTACTCTTCGTGTTTTATGAAAAAATAATATACATTGTTGGAAAAAATAACAAGAGCAATAGCAGAAACACGAAAAAAATTGTCGTTTTCTTATACCTCCCAACCAAGAGAAGATCAAAGGAAGAGAGTGAATCCCCCATACAGGCCTTATACCAAAGGTAACCTCTCTTAAATTATTTTTAGCCAAAGTACCCGGTCCGCTCAGGCGTTGCGTGGATTTTTGTGGAGGATTTGTTTATGTATCGTTTCGTTTCGAAGCGAAGCGAAGGAAACCACCAACGCTGTGGAGACGTCTTCGTTGATATTTTAATATCAAAGGAACAAGTCTTAATACATCTCGAAACATTCATAGGAGTTTAAGAGACAGATGTTCCCTGAACAAACAAAAGAACTGAATGAACGGCATAGAAATGAGCAGTCAATCGAGTGGAAAGCAAACGAACGCCCGCATACAACGCAACCGACTGACAAACAGATGGTCGAAAGTGCAGACAGAAGCTCGCCGCCCAAAGAGCAAAAGGAGGAGCATAAATTGATTAAAGCAACATCGATAACAACGCCGAGGACACTTGTTTGTCTATCGCTTTCAGAGATTTAAACACAGCATGTAAGACAGCGTCAAACTTCGAAAAAGAAATTCTAAAAATTAGCCGTCGTAGTTTAAGTTCTCCCCAATATGTAGAATGCGGCCTTTTCGCGTTGTTGTTTTGTAAAGAACGGCAAAGAAACGAACAAAGAATTGCACGCGCACGCGTAAACAGCCATTCTACTCGTTGCCGTTTTGGTTTGAACAAAAGAATGAACAGCCAAACGAACACAAAGTAAACGAAATCTCAGCTGAGCAAAACGACGGCCGAGAGGCGGTGCAGAAAAAAATCTGTGCTATATGAAACGTCTTTTGAAAACTCAAAACTTATAAAATGACTTTTCGCCACATTTCCCGCCATTTCGTCTCTGGTGGTTTCGAGAAAGTTGCTTGGGCTGTCCACGCGTCGCGCGAGTAACATTCTCGGAGGAACTGGGTAGGATGTCTAAAAATAACTTAGGAGGGATAACCTTGGGTACAAGGCCCATAAGGGGGATTCGCTATCTTACCTTGATAATCTCTTGTCCCGACTAAAATACGTTTTCCGATTGGAGGAGAACGTGTCACGTGCCGTGGGTCAAAACTCACTAACTCCCTAAGGCAAACAAAACTCAGTAACTCTCAAAGGAAACATCAACTTGAACTTTCGACTCGCACGTGATCAAGTCGTGCTACTCGAAACCGCGGCAAATTTGTGTGCCAACCGACGTCAAGGACACGATTTTTTCGCAGTTTTGTTTCTTCTATTTTTGAGTTGGGAGGTATAACAAAACACTTAAGGACTGGCCCTGCGGGAAACAATGAGGGATCATTGAAGTCGCGAGGTGAAACAAAACCTCTCGGGGAAATAAAACGTTGTTTGTTACACAGGTTTGTCAGCCACATCAATGACATCATCATCACTTGTGAAATCATCATCATTTGCGGAATTCCCTTGAAACTGCACGACGGCTACTCTTCGCCGACTTTCCCGTCTACGTTTCACGTACCATACCGTGACAAACGAAGCAATACCCACAGCAATAGCAACCCCAATTCCGATACCAACGCAATCACCCGGGCTGATGCTTTCTTGGTTGGTCTTCCTGGTTGTACCTATGACAAAAAATTAAAATATTGCTTGAATTGATAGTAGTATGCCTTTGAGTTTAGACAGTTTATTGAAATGGAGCTGAGCTAGGACACAAGCCGAGGATACGTTAATTCTGCTAAAAAAAAAAACAACAAACAAACAAACAAACATGGAACAAAATTTAAAATTAATTATTTTATTAATTAGGGCAAACAGAAAATGAAGTGCAGTTGATGAGTGTCAATAAAACAGATACGATCTCCTCTTAGGTGCCTAATATAAGTATTTACATAGTAACCCAAACTATTCTCGCATTTTGATTGGTCCTCGCCTATGATCTATTAGAGGACAGACGCACGATTGACGTCGTCATTACGAAGTTTCTCCCTCTCTGTTTTAAAATGGCGGAAAGCTTTGAGAATTTAGATAAATTTTACGTCACTGGGTTAAAGATAAGGTACAAAAAAGTCTTGTTGAGGCATTGAACAGATACGAGAAGCAGGAAAAAGAAAGAAAAAACCGTTTCTTTAGAAAGTGACTCACGAAAAATACTCGAGCAGCCTCAGTCGGCAGTTAAGCGTTACTAAACCAAACACAAATTTGGTCTTGAAATTGAATTTAAGGTTATTCCTCAGTATTGCATTGCGCATCCTTACTGCGCACAATTTCACGCGTAATTAGCGCGCCCGCATTAAAAATATGGCGGCTTTTTGGACCTCTCCATAGAGGTAAATCGTCATTTTCTCGCAAACGAGTATGGTGACCTATCATTTTTTCTGTTGCTTTGAATTGAGTAATGAATTTCTCTGTGTAAAATAAATATGACCAATTCTCAGTGTAGAACAAGAAGCAATCGTCGGAAACGTGAATTTAGCAAGCAATCGTGACCACAATCATGGTGCTATTATAAGGATTTATATGGGTATAAACAAGGTGCTGTTGC